TTTTAGAAACTTATATGAAGATATTCATTGGCTGGTTCTTATATCAGGTAAGAATGTCCTTTACTTGTCTATGGTGTACATCATGATGGTGTGGTATGGTGTGTGTTTTATTACAAAGTATACAAAGCATACTGTATACTGCACTGATACCAGGTACAAAGACACATTTTCCCGTTATGTTTTATTGGGTGACTGCTATCATATGTGGTGGGCTCCCATGCGCAGAGTATGAAAATACCTTTACATATCACTCGCTGAAAGCCTCCAGTGATGGCCGATATGAATGGTATATAACGGCCACAGCCGGCAATGTATTTAGTGCAAGTATGCTTACAGTTTTAAAAATATTCTAGATATGGCATTACATGACTGGGCTATGTAACTTTCATCATTGTGTGTATCATTTTAGCAATTTATTACATACACTGCTAACAGATTTCAAAATACTGGACATCATTTATTGGTCACATACCTTGAGGTCTGTCTTTCTTCTTTATGTTTGAAAATTTGAAAATGTATTTTACTTATCATAGCATGTTTCTCGTCTATTGTTTAGTGCTCTTAGACTTGATTCTTGGATTGTGAATTTTGATATTTCTTGGCAATGAGTTTATTTTAACTATACGTTCAAATAAAATTAATTAAATTAAATTAATTCATGTTCTAGACTTCAGTAAGGGGTTTTCACTATGTCTCTCATTCTATTATAATATTTTTTTTGCAATTTGATGTGATAGATCTGCGTTCCATGCTGTTACGAACACAGCCGCAAGCATAACTAGATGAAGGTTCTCCTAATGTCACATACATGTATGGTTGGGTCAGCACTAACTCAGGAAGTTTTGCGCGGTCTCCCCTCCACATACTGATATGACAGGAATGTTTGTGTTCAATAATGCTGAGTGGAGTTGCATTGACGACCCTGTTTCTCTCTTAGGGTATGTACTAGCTGATGAGCCTCAGGGAGAGACCCCTCTCATACCTCCTGAGATAATGGAATATTCCATAGCAGAATCACAGAATGTGGATATAGATACAACGTTGCGAGTGTTGGGATCCCCTGGCGAAAAAGTAACGTCTATTCCCATGAGTGAGCAATCTAGTGATAAAGTAATTAGGTGAGTCTATTATTTAGAGGTAAGATAGGTAGGTGAATGACAATAAAGTAGTTAGGTGAGTCTATTATTTAGAGGTAGGATGGGTAGACAATAAAGTAGATGGGAATGGGAATTCATTAGAAATAAATGAGATTAGTTTAGCTCTATTTTTCTTTTCTGAAAGTACTGAGTAATGGATGTATACAGGGCAAAACATGTGGGTGTTCCAAAATTTGCTGTTTTCACTCCCACATTGTTTCAGTTCTGAACATCAATATAGTTTTATGACTATTGAGGCACAATGACTTATGTATAACATATTGTATAACATTAATATAGTCCGATAAAAAATAAATTCTTGTTTTATTAAAAAATCATATGGAATATATAGTTTCTAAGTCTCTATTGTGACCAGTGAATGCCGTTTCGTCACTAATGAACCTGTATATAAAAGCGAAAATGATCAGTTGCATGTTTGGTCTTTTTACACTAGGATCCATCCATATTTTTTTTTCTCATCTTCAAATATTTCTTGACAAATTATACACAGAGAAGTTATTGTCACTTTTTTTTTTCCGAATTATTTAATCATCTTGCATAAAAAAAACACCGTTTTATAAAAAGACTATTTTTTTAAAGCTCCTTGCATTGTCATTATACACAAGTTTGACAGTATTTTTACTCATTCACAGGTTAATATCTGCTGTATTCAGATTATCCGAAGTTGAACGGCGTGCCGTGAATGCGCAGCTGACTTCACTGCTTAGTCCTCAAGTTGGTGCTACCACCATGTGGTTCCTCAGAAGATGGAGCTTGTCTTATATCATGCCTAATGAAAGATACTATACCCAGGTGGGTCAGGCAAACAAATTACACCTATCAGGGTGTAAAGTACATGTAGGTATAAAAAAACATTGTACAGAAATAGGCAATGTGACCAAAATATTTGATACTAGATATGTTAATGATTTGCTTTGAAGTCTTTCGTAATGTCTGTAATTGAAGCAGCACTGTCAGAACTGTGCCTGCCCTCATTATACCATTCTATTCTCTGGTTACTGTATGTGTTATATGTACCATAGTTCAAAATATAAACAGTGTTCACAGTTGAATTATAGCTGTACTTTATTGTACCAAGGTATTTAACTATGACCAAACATGACACATACAATGTAACTTTTACAATTGTTTGACTTACCGGTACTACCTTGCCTGTAAATATGTGACTGTCTTTAAGCAGATCTCTAAAACTGGTCTCTATCAATATGCATATTCATTGTTGTGTGATCCCTTCTTATGTA